TAAAAGGACAGGAGAGAATTTCCTGTATGGTAGAACTGTTCTATATATGGATTATAGTGGTAGTTACATGACTATATGAGTTTGTCAAAATTCATAAATCTACACTAATAAGGGTGAATTTTAGTGTTATTCCTCAATAAAACCTAAGAAACTAACAAACTACTGCAGAAAAGAGCCCCAAATCCAAGTTCAAATGTAAACAATATATCTGTACACTCTACCACATGACATATATGTGTCTGTATAATTTGATAAAATCTTAAAATACATAAATTTGAATATAAAATATACTGAGCATTATATAGTTAGTGTGACTTTTAAAACAGATTAGACAAACACCTTACGATAGTGAAAATATTTGAAAACGATATTTGTGAAGACGTGGATAACTGAGGTCAGTTTGATGTTAAGAATAAAGAATGTCAGTTTCGATGCTTATTGTTCTCATTTTATATTTCCCTATAGAACATACAGGTTAAACAATTTAAGTAATTTTTTCTTAGACTTGTTTTCTCATTGGGGAAGGTAACTTTATTTCAAACTTGTACACAATTGCTATATAGTGATAGTTCCTGGGTCAACACTATTAAATACAAAGAGATAATAGAGTTCAGGACTTTAATTTTCATCTAAAAATATTGTCTCAAGAAATACCTTCTTGTGAAATGAGGCAGTTGTAATATCCCACAAATAACCCTGAACTTAAAAGTGATTTTAAATTCAATATGTAATTTTAAACTCTTAGCCTTAGAATTTCCATTATCTCCATTTTCTAGGTGGGGAGTCAGACAAGAACATCTGTTTTGCTCAGATTTTACAGCTCATAAAGTAGCAAGAATTAACAGAAGCAGTCACACTCAAACTCTTTAGTGGGAATGCAGATTGGTATTACCCTTTGACAGTTCTGAAAATCACTATCAAAACTAAAAATTCACATACCTTTGACTACATTCTAATTTTTCATTAGTTTTGAAAAATAGCTCTATTAAAATATCTTTGCTCATTTAACTGTACAGGTCTTCACTTTCTTATTACTTTGTATTAAACTTGAAAAATATGGAAATTTATTCCCTATCATATGTTAAGCAAAATTTTTTGTGGGTTTTTCTTTTATAATTACTATTATACAAATCTTCCTATTTTTGTACATTTTAAAGTTCTTTATCAAAAGCTACCACTATGAACTTATGTGCTCAGAACTTTACATACTTGATCTCATTTAGTCCTCAAAAAGCCTTATAAGGTAGTCAGTAATCATCATCCGCTTTTAGAAAAAAACAGATGTGTTAGGTAACTTTCTAAAGTTCACACAGCTAGAAAGTGGCAGAAATGAAACTGAAATTCAACTACCATGTCACACTGCTTTTTTTAATTATGTTTCTCTTCAATGCTTAAAATATTCTCTCTATAATCTATCTGCTCTTATTTGAGGCATTTTTAAATGTTCTATCCCAATGTCAAAGACTTGTGCAATATTGTAAATTGCTCTCTGGTGGAGTTTTATTATTTTTTTACCTGAATACTATCTCTTGGACAAAAGTGTTTGATTTTGGCAGTTCACAGAAATAAACGCAGCTGAATCATATCAATATGAATAGAAATTAGACTCTGATAACAGAAAAATAGCTCCCTTAATTCTGAAGAAAAAAAAAACCATACACATAACATGTATAGCTTATTATCTACCAATTTGTGAAAAGTTAAAAAGTGATTCAACAAGCATCCTCGTGTTCAACGACTATTCAGCCTGACTTTATAGAATAAGATTGGTAAATTTTGTCTTTTCAATTGAATTTACTAATTAAATGCATGCTAAGACTCTTTAAATTAGACCATGCCCAGGAAAGGTGGATGAGTAGACTAGAAATAAAGGGCACTAAGAAAATGGGTAGAGCTGTTAATTTGCTTGAGAAGGGCATCATCAATTGATAGTTTCTTAATATATTATTTCTCTCTGAAGTCAAACTTAGAATACAAGGGCCCTTCAGAAACAAGGACTTAAGACACGCAGTAAGACACAGGAAAAATATAGGTGATAGCTGATGCAAGGCCAATTTTAGGAACATTTCTGAAATTTACAGTTAGCATTATTGGTAAGATTAGGCCCAGATGCCAAGCTTAGATCAGAGGTTTGCCAACTTGCATCAGAATTAGAGGGCTTGTTACAAGAAAAATTACTGTCCATTTTCCAGAATTTCTGCCTGATTGGGTCTGCTGTGGGGCCCGAGGACTGGTATTTCTAACAAATCCCAAGAGATGTTGATGATGCTGGTCTGGGGACCTGTAAGAACCACTTACACTATGTTACAAGGTGAAGACACCAAGCATTACCAAGTGAGATGAGCAGTCAAATTTAAAAAAATACATTTCCACTTGCTGTGGATAACCTAATAGGGTACAGAAACCAGTTCAAGAAGGAGTTGGACTTCCAAAGATACAGTCTTCTGGCCTACATTTTTCTCTTGTGCTGGATGCTTCCTACCCTCAAACATCAGCTTTGGGACTCTTGGACCTTCAACTACAGACCGAAGGCTGCACTGTTGGCTTCCCTACTTTTAAAGTTTTGGGACTTGGACTTGCTTCCTTGCTCCTCAGGTTGCAGACAGCCTATTGTGGGACCTCTCCTTGTGATCGTGTGAATCAATATTCCTTAATAAACTCCCCTTTACAGATACATCTATCCTATTGGTTCTGTACCTCTAGAGAACTCTAATACAATGTACTAAATAAATAGTAGGCTTGTGGAACAAGGCTGGGAGAATATGTTAAGTGGCTATAAATGCTCTATGAGAACTTTAAATGCACTCCAAAAATTATCTGAACCTATGTTATGTTAAACTTAGTGAACATAGTAAACACTTTTTAAAGAAAGTTTGGAGATTTAGGAGAAAAAAATAAGCATTTTACTTAGGCTCAAACAACTAATTGTTCAAAGAAAAGATAAAGAATGAAAATAGTACTTCTTTCAACCATCCAAAATAAAATCACAGCTTATTTTTTTAAAAAGTGAAATATTGGATGTGGAATACTTAAAAAGTCTGAAACCATTGTATTTAACATTTTTTTATATTCTGAGTGCTTTTCTCTTGTTAGTCTCCTCTACAAGTTACCTTTTGTTTATATGAATTTTTATAGCAATTACTTATATAGGGCTTTGTCCTAATAAAACTTATGTTGCAACATAAAGTATGAACAAACATAGAATTTTTGACATTATTTAACGAATCACAGGTGTTCACTCCAGTATATCTTTTCTGCCTTTGAATAAAGTATGAACTTTCACAAAAAGCTACCATCATCATTAATTGGGAATGTCTCCAGTGTGAATTTTTGGGGGTAGATTAAGTCATTCTTCTTGTCTCAAGAACCAGAAGGGATCCTGAGGTAGTTTACAGAAGACACAGTTCTGGTGTACAGAGTATTAGGACACTTTAATAAGTTCATGTCTGGGATAAACGATATAACTAAGGCTATGGATGTCTCTCCAACCTAGGTTCCCAAAGGTACAGTAAGTCTGCACTGAACATCATCAATAGGTTCTTAGAAACTACAACTGTAAGTGAAATGATGTATAACAAAATCAATTTTACCATAGACTAATGGATACAAACAAGAGTTAAGTTCCTCTGGCAAATGTCTGGTCACAACATCACCAAACTTCTAAAGACCCCAAATGCTTCCAGTATTAGACATGAAGATAAATCTGAGCTGTACACACATTTAAGAAGGATTAACAAATACAGGTAATATAATTATTTACCCAACTATTCCAGTACAGGACCATGAGTGGACAGAGCACATCCTAGCAACTCAAGGCAATGATGGGAACCAACCCTGATTAGAAGCCATTCTACTGCAGGTACTCTCCCTCACATGCAAACTCAGACTGAGATAATTTAGAAATGTCAATTAATCTAATGGGTACATCTTTGAGGTTTGAAACTGGAGCACCTGGAAACATGGGGAGAGTATGCAAACTTCACACAGACAGTGTCCCTGGCTGGGAACTGATATTTGTCTCATCAACATTATAACAATTACAACATTATAACAAAACAAAACCATTTTTCAAAGACCTGCTATACTTTTTAAAAATGCAGATTTTAAGAATACATATAGATTAACAACAATACATCCTTCTCCCATTGCAACTGATAACCCTCTCTCAACTCTAGTTTCCATTCAGCACCAAGACAGCAAAGGGTATTGTCAGGGGTGGAGTAAATGGCTGTTACTGTTATCTTAGGCATTAATTCAAAGATTTCTGTCCTTAGTATGTTCTCTTACATTCTCATCAGCTTCTGATTTCTTGTGACCTTCTTATAAGGGCTGAGTTTTATTAAATATCAGCTTTCAGAGTATTGCTTGGCTTTGCCTAATGTCTTCATCAATAAATCAGGTGGATATTAGTATGCTATAGCCCTATTTATGAACTAGGGAAAGGTAAGGGCAATGGATATCAAAATAATGATAGACAAACACTTGTATGGTGATACTGTGTTTAACTCCAAAGCCTTATGGCTTCATCTGAAAGCCAGGGAAACTCCTTCAAACAGATTTCTATCCAATAATATTTCTATCCATTATTAATTCTGTCATATTATTTAAAGAATAATCTTTAATAATTAAATATATTGTAAGAAAACATTAAAGATATTATTTATTAAATATATGAAAACATTTAAAGATATTAAAGATATAAAACATATAAAGATATAATTAAATTTAAATTATTAAATTTAATTATTCTTTAAAGAATAAAGATTATTCTTTAAATATGTTTTCTATTTAAATAATCTTTATTATTTAAATTATTTAAAGAATAAAATATTAAAATAAAATAAAAATATTAAAATAAAATAAAAATAATTATTTAAATAATTATTCTTTAAATAATATGTTTTCTTACATTATATTTATGAGATTTTATCCAGCATAAATTCATGATGTTGAATGAGTTCTGCATTTTGACTAAAGGTAATCTTTCATTTTTTCTTTTTTCAGGACTTATCTTGAGTATGCAGCTTTTGATGTTTAACAAGGTTTGAACTCCTGTTGAAGGCTTTATTACATTCCTTACATTTGAATGGTTTCTCTCCTGTATGAATTATTTGGTGTCGAATAAGAGAGGAACTCCGGTTGAAGGATTTTCCACAGTTAACACATTCATAGGAATTATTTCCAAAATGGACTGTTGGATTATTACTGTCTTCACTTTTACAGAAGGCTTTTCGACTTTTATTGCTTGTACAGGCCTTTGCTTCAGTGTGAAGTTTTTGATGCTTAGTAAGATTTGTACGTCGGTTGAAGGATCTTCCACATTCACTGCATTTATAGGGTTTCTCTCCTGTGTGAATGATCTGATGTCGAATAAGGGATGAACTTCGGCAGAAGGCTTTCCCACATTGATAACATTCATAGAAATTCATTGTAGTATGACTTTTTTGGTGTTGAATATCTGTACTCAGGCTGAAGTCATTCCCGTATTCATCCTTTTCTGAATGCTGCTTACATACTGAGTCTAAATTAAATTTGAAGTGAGTTTTCAACTTACCATATTTTGGAGACCCCTCACATTTTGGAATTCCCTGTTGTATAGCACAAGTTGAGCTAAGTGAATTAATATCAAAGCTTTTCTTATTTTCACTACATTCAAAATCTTCCTCCTCAGTATAGACTGCTTCAGGAAATTCTTGCGGCAAATCTATGTCCTGTTTTTTCTGGTTCCTATATAACCAATCCTTATTTTTCCAGACATCTGAGGAAGGTTGTCCACTTTTGGTAAGCCTTGTCATAAACACTCCATGGGATGTTTCTTCTCCAGAAATACTCTGCATGTCTAAAGAGAAATAAAAACTGCCATGAACTATAAGGGAAATTGCTTAATTAGGAAATGGAGGTTGAACTGTATAAGGTATATGCGTATATCACGGGTCTTAAATACAGAATGGAAATGCGAGGCAAGGTTAGAAAAAAGACATATAAAAGAAATAAATGGTATAAAAAAGTTAAAAGCAGGTTAGTAAATAAAATAGGAGAGGTATTCGGGAATATTAAACTTCATAGGGCTCAAGTAAAATATTGTTATATGAATGAGATGGCATATCACATCATAATTCAAGTTATCACTGGTTACTAACTAGTGTGTAAAGACTCTGCCTAATAATTTTTCTTCTAGCATCTTGTTTATCTCAAGCTGTTTACCAGTAATAAATATTCCTTTCTATAAAATACCAGTTGAATCATAATTTTAAGAACAAGTCTGTATTCCCAGGCACCACAGCTTGACAAGCGAAAAGCAAACTTGCAATCATAATGCCCCTGTTTTCCATACAGCTGCAACTACTCCCTAAATATAACAAAGACAAAAAGAACTCTAATATAAGGTAGCAGGAAATCTTTGTTCTGGCCTCAAAAGAACTCCCGATTCTAACATTAGTGCTTTGGTACTTTTCTACTATACTTCCTAGAACTCAAAACTTTACCTGTTCTGATTAAGACTGGATTCTCTTCCTTTCACCTGTCCTCATTTGTTTTATTTAATAATGTTTCACATCATTTCTCAAAATTCCTCTCACTTAGCTTCTATATACTCACTATACTATATATTCTAGTGATTTTTTAAAAACTAAATCTCACTGACTTCTTTTTCCTTGTAACTTCAAGTATGCCTAATAATTTTATTCTCCCAACATTTATTGGTGACCAACTCACATCAGCTTTGAACTCACATATTACTGTCCCTTGTTTTCATCACTCTCCAGGACATCTCCACTTGACTATCATAGTCCTCTAAACAAATCAGAGACTGAAGTTATCTTCCATGGCGAAAGAACTTCCTTCGATGTCTTCATTTTTGTTTGAGTCAATGCTTTTCTAATATTTCTACTGGAATCCATAAGAAAAACTTGAATAACCATTGTCCTTCACCTCTCAAATCAAATATGTGCTTTGGTTCTATTGTTTTATAAAATTCCCTGCCTCTGTCTCACCAGTGTACACAGGGTGTGTGCGGGCAGACAGCTTGTCCCTTTAATTCATAAGTCTTCAGAGAAAGAAATATCTTCCAAACCTGGACCTAATGTAGATTATGAGATCCTAGACTTCAACCTTGATGCCATAATAGGTAAGACTCTTGGGGTCTTAGGAGAGAGTAAATATATTTTGCAACGGGGAAGAACATAGATATTTTGTAGCCAGTGGACAGATTATGGTAGATCAAAATGGATGCACATCCTTTGCCACTCTTCTTATACAGAAATAGAGTTTATTCTTCTTCTCCTTGAATCTGGGCTGATCCTATGATTGCTGAGCCAATAGAATGTGGCAGAAGTGATACTGTTCTGGATCTAGCCTTTAAGGTGATTTCTCTCAGGATGTCGCCTCTTAGAACCCAGCCACCTTGCTGTGAGAAGCCCAAGCCTCAAAGAAATGCCACATGTAGGTGCTCTGGTCCATAAGAACAGTTAATTGGGTCCCTTGTAGGGACATGGATGAATCTGGAAACCATGATTCTCAGCAAACTGACACAAGAACAGACAACCAAACACCACATGTTCTCACTCACAGGCGGGTGTTGAACAATGAGAACACATGGGCACAGGGAGGGGAGCATCACACAATGGGGTCTGTTGGGGGTCTGGGCGGGGGGAGACAGTGAGGGGCAGGGAAATGGGGAGGGTTAACACTGGCAGAAATGCCTGATATAGGTGATGGGGGGATGGAGACAGCAAACCACCATGGCATGTGTGTACCTATGCAACGGTCCTGCAAAATCTACACATGTACCCCAGAACTTAAAGCACAATTTTTTTTAAAAAGCAGTTAAGTTCCAAGGAACAGCCAGCATCCACCCATGTGATGTGCCATCTTGGACATTCCATTCCATTTGAGCCCTGGAACACCGCATTACCAGCTAACAACATATAGAACATAAGAACTCCTTAGTCAACTCACAAAATTTGAGAATTAATAAAATGATTGCTCTTTTAAGTCACTATGTTTTTGGTAATCTGTTAAAAGCAACAGATAGCCAAAAACAGTGTCCTAGTAGTATTTATGTAATAGCAGAATTTCCAGTTGTATTTGCCCAAGTAAATCTTTTTTATTCATGTCTATACAACTCATTTTTTCATATAACTTCAATTTTTTTTTTTTTTTTTTTGAGAGAGTCTTGTTCTGTTGCCAGGTGCTAGGCTGGAGTGCAGTGGCACGATCTCAGCTCACTGCAACCTCTGCCTCCCAGGTTCAAGCAGTTCTCCTGCCTCAGCCTCCCAAGTAGCTGAGACTGCAAGTGTGTGCCACCATTTCCAGCTAATTTTTGTCACCATGTTGGCTAGGATAGTCTCAATCTCTTGACCTTGTGATCCGCCTGCCTCAGCCTCCCAAAGTGCTGGGATTACAGGCATGAGCCATCGCACCCAGCCTTTTTTCTTTCTTTCTTTCTTTTTTTTTTAAGAGACAGTGTCTTGCTCTGTTGCCCAGGATAGGGTGCAGTGATGCAATCACAGCTCACCGCAGCCTCCAACTCCTGAACTCAAGCAATCCTCCAAGCAGCTACCATTATAGGTATGCACCACCATGCACAGCTTATTGTTTATAGAGATAGAGTCTTGCCATGGTGCCCAGTCTGGTCTTGAATTCCTGGCTTCAAGAAATCTTCCTGCACTGGCAAAGTCTACATCATGATGGAGACTATGACATAGATTTTGTGGATATCTTTAATCTACCACAATCCATTAACTATGCACTGGCAAAGTCTACATCATGATGGAGACTATGACATAGATTTTGTGGGCATCTTTAATCTACCACAATCCATTAACTATGCACTGGCAAAGTCTACATCATCATGGAGACTATGACATAGATTTTGTGGGCATCTTTAATCTACCAAAATGCATTAACTATTTGGGAAAATAAGTTACACTTACTGAAGTAAATTCCAGATTAATTTATTATGCTTAGATGAAGAGACAGATGAAATTAGAATATAATCAGAAAATGTTTGCTAGCTTTAGGATGGAAAACCATGTATAAAATTAAGAGATATAAAACAATGGGGAAATATACAGTTGACACAAATTTTAAAAATGTGTGGCATACACCATGAATAAAAGTAAAAAACAAAACTCTGAGATACCTCGTTTGCCACACTGTGATCCATAGAATTCATATAGGATGTTAATATATTAATTAAAAACACTTACAGCTTTAATCAATAAAGGACATAAATAGCCATTTACTAAATGACAACCGAAAAAATAATTCTTACCTTTCTTATCTAATATCTATTCATCCATCCTTTTTTTTTTTTTTTTTTTTTTTTCTGATTCCTATATGCACCAAGGGCTAGAGATGTAAAGGTAGGGTAAAAACAAACATTATGCCTAACCTCAAGGAACATACAGCCTAGTGTGGGAGACAAATATTCACAAAGATACATGTAAAATATAATTATGAAAACTGGTAAAAGGAGAATAAGGTGCTGTGCAAGTGTACAACAGAAAAGAACTGAGTCAGGAAAGACTTCCTTAAGGAAATGTGGACTTATCTGGGATCTGAGGAATAAGAGTCAATTAGGTAAAGAACAGGGAGAAGAGCATTCTATGTAAAAAGCATGTACAGAGGTCCTGTGATGGGAGACTGCAAGCCACATTCAAGGGACAACCAGAATGTGTTCCCTCAGAATCATCTTTTCTCTACTGCACCCCAACACCTGCCAGAGTGCTTAAGACATAGTATATAGATGCTTAATATGTATTTGATGTTGATTTGCTGAAAGCAGATAGGTGTGGCCTGAGTACAAAAAGTGAAGGGAGGATGTGGTGCAAGATGAGATTGGAGACGTAGGCAGGAAATAGAATGCTGTGAAATAAAATACTGAAATCAATATAGTATTTAAAAATTGCAGATCACAAAATATTATCTCTTTGGTTGCAGTATGGTTCAAAGATTGGAGCTGGGGCAAAAATAACAAGTTAAGAAGTATGCCAATGTGGTGGTTCAGGTGAGAGATGATGGTATGTGGACTAGTATAGCAGCACTGCAGATGGACAAAAGTGGAGACATTCACAAGGTAACAGAAAAGTAAAATAGAAACAAACATTAGAGAGGTGAAGGAGAAGAAGTTGTGTCAAGAATAGTTAAAGTGTACTTGTGTAACTAGGTAGATGGCAGTGTCATTGACTCGAGGAATAACACAAGAGTAGAAAGGGGGAAAAAATTATCAGACTTTGGTTTCATGGAATTTAAGGCATCTCTAAGATATCCCAGAGAAATATCATGGCATATATAAACCTCCAAAGAAAAAGTCTGAGGTAAGGATATACATCTGTAAATCCCCTATATATGTAAAATAATTTAAGTTTTAGTTGTGGTTGTAACAAACTAGGGAAGAAAAGAGCAAGAAGAGAAGAAAAAAATGAGATTAAATGTTGAGAAACTTTGAAATTTATCGGAAAGCTAGAGAAAGCTAAGTCTGCAAAAGATAGAATAGCCAAACAAAGAAGAAAATCAGAAGTATTACAAGAACCTAAAAATATTTTAAGAAAGAAGTACAGTTAACAGTGTAACTTGCTGTTGAGAATTCAAATGAGATAAGGAATATCTCCAAAATATCTACTGGAATTAGCTACATGAAGTCATTAAACACTTTAGCAACAGCTGTTTCAGATGAATGTCAGGGTAAGAGCTAAATTAGAATGTAGAAAAAGAGGTGAGGAAATGAGAAAACCAGGCATAAAGTACTTTGAGATGTTTGGCTACAAAGAAGAGGTAAGAAAGACAGTAATAGCTAGAAGAGGATGTAGGGTTGAAAGAAAACTTTTAAAAATGGAATGTCCATGCTCATGGTTAGGAAAAATTAATGTCATGAAAATGGCCGTACTGCCCAAAGCAATCTATAGATTCAACGCTATCCCCTTCAAGCTACCTTATTCACAGAACTTAAAAAAAAAACACTTTAAACTTCATATGGAATCACAAAAGAGCCCGCATAGCCAAGACAGTCCTAAGCAAAAAGAACAAAGCCGGAGGCATCACAATGCCAGACTTGAAACTATACCACAAGGCTACAGTAATCAAAACAGCATGGTACTGGTACCAAACAGAGACATAGACCAATGGAACAAAACAGAGGCCCCAGAAGCAACAGCACACATCTACAATCATCTGATCTTTGACAAACCTCACAAAAACAAGCAATGGAGAAAGGACTCCATGTTTAATAAATGGTGTTGGGAAAACTGGCTAGGAATGTGCAGAAAGCAGAAACTGGACCCCTTCCTGTCAACTTACACTAAAATTAACTCCAGATGGATTAAAGATTTAAACATAAAACCTAACACCATAAAAACTCTAGAAGAACATGTAGGCAAAACCATCCAGGACGTAGGCATAGGTAAGGACTTCATGACTAAAACACCAAAAGCAATGGCAGCAAAAGCCAAGATAGACAAATGGGATCTAATTAAATATCAGAGCTTCTGTACAGCAAAAGAAACCATCATTAGAGCAAACTGGCAACCAGCAGAATGGGAAAAAATTTTTACAATCTACCCATCTGACAAAGGGCTAATATCCAGAATCGACAAAGGGCTAACATCCAGAATCTACAAAGAACTAAAACAGATATACAAGAAAAAACCAAACAACCCCATTCAAAAGTGGATGAAGGATATGAACAGACACTTTTCAAAAGAAGACATATGAGGCCAACAAACATATGAAAAAAATGCTCATCATCACTGGTCATTAGAAAAATGCAAATCAAAACCACATTGAGATACCATCTCATGTCAGTTAGAATGGCGATCATTAAAAAATCTGGAGGCAACAGATTCTGAAGAGGATATGGAGAAACAGGAACACTCCTACACAGTTGGTGGGAGTGTAAATTAGTTCAACCATTGTGGAAGACAGTGTGGCAATTTCTTAAGGATCTAGAAATAGAAATTCCATTTGACCCAGCAATCCCATTACTGGGTAATATACCCAAAGAACTATAAATCATTCTACTATAAAGACACATGCACATGTATGTTCACTGCAGCACTGTGTACAATAGCAAAGACCTCGAACCAATCCAAATGCCCATCAACGGTAGACTGAACAAAGAAAATGTGGTACATATACACCATGGAACACGACGCAGCCATAAAAAATGATGAGTTCACGTCCTTTGTAGGGACCTGGATGAATCTGGAAGCCATCATTCTCAGCAAATTGACACAAGAACAGAAAACCAAACACTGCATATTTTCTCTCATAGGTGGGTGTTGAACAGTGAGAACATGTGGACTCAGGGAGAGGAACACCACACACTGGGGGCAGTTTGTGGTGGGGGTAGGGGAGGGACAGTGGCTGGTAGGGAGGGTGGGGAGGGATAACATGGGGAGAAATGCTAGATATAGTATATGCCTAAAGTAAAACAAACATTTTTTAAAAAATTGGTAATGACCAGAAAAAGGTTAAGAAGCTGACGGAAAAATGAGACAGAAATGGTGAAAATGTAAGTGAGAAAAGATAAGGAGAAGTGAGGTCCAAAGCACAATGGGGTTGGGGACAGAGGGTATTTATCTTAGAAAGGAAGAAAAGAGTAATTTGCCTTTCAAATTAATAAAGAATTCAGGTAAATAATGCCCAGTGTTTGCTAGGATGATAATAAAGAGATAGTAATACTCTATTAGTGAGAGTATGAATTGGTGTAACCTTTTTGTAGACAATTTGGCATAACATAACAAGACAACTAAATGCATTTATACCCTTTAATGTCAAGCTCCTCTTCTAACAGGGCATCCCATGGAAGTTATTAGACATGGCTGAAAAACTGGCAACAGCCTAAAAGTCTAACAGTGGAGGGGCAGGGTGATGGTTAAATATATTATGATATAATAGAATATTGTATGGGAATTAGAAACCACATATTCAAAGATTATTTAGTGAAGTATGTAATCACTCATGATGACATTTTAGGTGAAAAGAGCAGGATATAAAATGACATATTCCTGATGACTTTTGGAAAAATTTTGAAAACTGTTCCACAATTTCAGAAAAGAAATCTTCAGAAACCACAGAGACGCAACATTACAAAGAAAGAAAATGGCTTAAAAAAAAAATGTATACTGCATAGCTCTGGGGAGTGAAGTAACAGGCAAGTTATATTCCTTGTTTTATTTCTCTATACTTACTAGAACTTATATTAATCTCACAATAATTTTCTCTTATAAAGTATTAACAAGAATGAAGAATAAAAAAAATGATGAAAATAGGGAGTTAAGGCAAAAGTTAAGTTCCCCAGGTGGAAGCTGAAGAGGAAGGATCACTTGAGCTCAGGAGTTTGAGGGCAGCCTGGGCAACACAGTGAGAACTGTTTCCAGAAAACAAAATAAGTGATACAGGTTTAAAAAAAAAAAAAAAAAAAAAAAAAAAAAAGGAAAAATGGAAGATTACTAGAAATCACTCTAGTATAAAGTCGATTTACTTTCTTTAAAATATAGAATAACATTCAATGTTAGGCTGGCTAATATTCATTGACGTAGCACTTACCACATACTGATGTAGCATAGACCACATACTGTTCTAAGTGTGTTAGGCACACCAACTCATTTAGTACTCACAGGAACCAGAAGGGGTAGGTACTATTATTACTCTATGTTACAGATGAGGAAACAGGCACAAAGGTTCTCTCAGGTCATACAGCTTTAAGTGTCTGTGGTCCTATCCTTAACCTTATGTGACTATTTTACCACACAGGAGAAAGAACCTGTGAATGAAAGGCAATGATGTATTTTTTCCCCCAAAGTATATGTTTTGCTATCTCCTTCCCAACTAACAATTCAAAGATTAGGTTGCACATTATCTGTATGTTTAAGAAAGAGAGGCTTCTTATTATGGCCTCATATGTACCTGGTTCTTACCAGAAATAGTCTTCTTTGATATTTCTTTCTCCGTTATCCATCTTTTCTTCTTATTCTTCAACTCAAGGCTCTCAACTGGTTTGGAAAGTAGATGTGCTGTTCATGGAGAAAATAAAAAGGACAACTAACATATATAACACTTTAGACATTTTTATAGGGAAGATAATTCTATCTCAACACAGTAATCTAAGCTGCTGAAGGGTAAGGCCAGAAGAGCACCATGGACTTGTGTTTCTCTGGCTCAATATCAGAAAGGACTTCAACCAGGTAAGAGTCAGAAAATCTGCTACTGTGTCCAAAGGATATTAGCAAGCCTGAACCCAGACCCAAAAGTGAACTTAGCCACTTCAGCAGTCTTACAGCTTTTAGCAGTAGGAAGAAACTACTAAATGGACAGATTAGGTAAACATATAGAAACCACCTTTATGCAATGAATTCAGGTTCCTAAAGTTTTCCAGCATCACATCCCTGTACAGGTTCTTTACAGCAGAGTCCAGTTGCCCCCACTCTTCCTTGCTGAATTCCACAACCACATCTTTGAATGTCACTGGTTCCTAAAACATTAAGTTCCTTTTTAATCAAAGGTGTCACTCCCCAAAACACTACCAGAGGAGGAATGGATTTGAAGGAATAAGGTAGAAGCCAGAATACACAAGGAATTGATAGGACAATGTTTTAGTTTCTAAGTGATGAAAATCAAATTGTATTAAGGGCCAATCAAATTGACATTATATATACTCTGTGAGGGCTGCAAAAGAAAAGTGAAGTGCAGTCCTTATTCTAGAGTAGCTGATATTATGGTTGAGGGAGAGAAAGACAACTGAAATAACTGTCGAACAAAAAATTATTATGCTGTACAAATAATTTACATAAAAGGAGTTCAGAACAGGAAGAGTTTGTGATAGTTCTGAGGAAAATTTGTAATGAAAATGTAGGCTCTGCTGGGAGGAGAGGTAGAGCATTTTCTTTGAGAAATGCTGCGTACTAACTCTTATCATTTGGGACTCACAGTTTAATGTCACTCATCAAATAGGCAAGATTACCTAACTGCCCAAAATAGCCTCCCTACTAATCAGTTACAACTACAATGTTTATTTTCTGTGTAATAATTATTACTATTTACAATTATCTTATATGGCTTGTATTTGCCTGTATACCTCTACTAGAATGTGATTTTCACAAGGCTTGAATTTCATTTTATCAAACTTATTTTCAACCTTCATAAAAGTATTTGGCATACTATGCACTAAATAAAATATTGGCTAATGAATCAATTCCCTCCTGTATCACACCATCAATTATCCCACTCTCTCTCCAGCATCCTCAACCTTGTCTTTATTGGCACTTTCAATCACACCGAAATTATATAAACATCTTCCTTTCCTCTCCTTCAAGCCAGTCTTCATGAGTAAGTTGTCTGTTTTCTCACCTCCTCTTTCCTCAACACACCACAATCTGGCTTAGATTCCTGTGCATTTTAGTATCTCCACTATAAGTGAATAGACACTACTTGGGCTGTATTATCTTGACCTTGTAAAGCATTTTTCCCTTAAATATTCTCATTCCTTGGCCTCAGTGACATCCCATTTCCCTAGTTTTCCCCTACATCTTTGGTCCTGTCTTTTTAGTATGCTTTGAGGTTTCTTCTACTCTTGCCTAGCAAGTGACATTGCTCTGGATTCTACTCTTGAGCCTTAATTCTCAACATTTTCTGAGTAGACTCTACATCTATAGCTTCTACAGATAAAATAGGAACTATATTTTTGAGGAAACAGATACACAGAGAGAATATCTGGCTAAGAGCGTATCACCAACTAAAACAGGTCCAATGTCCTGTAGGAAAATAAGTCTCATGTCCTTGGATGGAATCATGTTTGGCAAAAGTTCAAAGGTCAAAAAAGTGAAGGCAGGTAATACTAAAAACAAGCATGTATGTTCAGTAAAGACTAGAATCTTAATTTACCTGTGGTTTGCCTGTTTGTGAGTCAGCTTTCATTTTATCCTTGATGCTCCCCTTCTGGGGTGCAGAGTCCTTGCAGGGTGTATCTGAGGAAGATGAAGGAAAATATTAGGGAGACAAGTTTTGCCCTGGAGCAACCTCTAATATTTATAGTTGTTTTAATATGATATTCACAGAAATTATCCATAGAACTTTGCAAAAATAATGTCAGGCGCTACCACCAGTCACAATCTGCAAAGGTCAGGCCTAGATCTTGTATTAAAAAAAAAATTTTTAATGTGATTCTGATATGCTACCAGGGGTTGAGATCTATTGAATCAGAAAGAGGGACAAAATAATATTTTCAGACCTCATCTATGGTTATAGCAGAATCTAAAAAAATAACTAATTCTGTCATAGCTAAAGCCTAACTATAGCTTAGCCATCACAGACTATTCTACTTGGAACTAATAATATTTTATCCAACCAATACCTTCCTCAAACACACCAGAGAGAATTCTGTTCAAGGATTGTTTTCCTGTAAATTGCTCTGTGCTTACTATACATAGACTTAAACAACCTGTCGACCTTAAACTATCACTTTTTTTAAGACATAAAATTCTGAAGGAGAACCAATTCTCTTATCCAGCCATTCAGTGAAAAATTTATCCAAGGGCCACTCTGGAAGATTCATGAGTTACATCAGTAATCCAGTGCCAGACTATGGACTAATACTGGTCTGTGATGAAGTTTTCACTGATTCAGGGTGAAATAAAAAGAGTAGAAACAATGTAGTAAGTACGGTATAACATTACATTTATTCAAGATAAGGGACTTTCTTTGACATTAAAATGTCTTCTAATGTGTTATTGATTTTAAAAATGTTTTTACTTAAAAGGAGTTGGCAAATCTATATTGTCTCCACTTGCATTTTTAAAAACTTTTAGTGACCTTTGAACCCCCCTAAAAATCTTAGAACCATGCAGCATTATAATAGCAAGCATTAATTCTCCATTATAAATGTATAACTGGACTCAACAATAATTTAAGCAACTGCATGGGGACTTCTTAAAACACATCAGGGCAGGCGTGGTAGCTCACACCTGTAATCCCAACACTTTGAGAGGCCATGGTGGGAGGAATGCTTAAGCCTAGCATATAAAACCAGCCTAAGCAATATAAGGAGATCCTTTCTCTACAAATAATAATACTGAATAAGCCAGGTGTGGGAGTGTGTGCCTGTGGTCTCATCTACTTGGGAGGCTGAGGCAGGAGGATCATCTGAGCCTAGGAGGTGGAGGCTGCAGTGAGTGGTGATCGCACCACCACACTCCAGCCCTGGTGACAGAGTGAAACTCTGTGTAAATAAAAGCAAACAAAAATTCAAATTTCTCAGCAACATACCATGTGAATGCTGCAACGATTGTGGTCCATTAACTTTTTTTTTTTTTTTTTTAAAGACACAGTCTCGCTTGGTCCAGGCTGGTGTGCAGGGTGGTGCAATTATACCTCACTACAATCTCAAACTCCTGGGTTCAACCAATCCTCCCGCCTCAGCCTCCTGAATAGCAAAGGCTACAGGCATATGCCACCATGCTGAGATAATTTTTTTTTCTTTTTTTAGAGACAGGGTGTTGCAATGCTGCCCAGGCTGGTCTTACTCCTGGCTTCAAATGATCCGCCTGCCTTAGCATCCCAAAGAGTTGGGATTACAAGTGTGAGATTGGCCCTGATATCTGTTAACTTTATTCAGGTCTGTAACACTTTGTGGAATGTCAGTCTACTCAATTCCATAATCTTTAGGACAGTCAATACAATACTGTTTCTTGTTCTTGCCATTCTTGGAAATATTTGAGGTATCTTTGAAAGGTACAAATGCCTCCAATCAGCTATCCTCTTATTTATTGCTCTCTGAATATCCTTTACCTGCCCTTCTTGAACTCTTACCATTGTGTTCTCTGAAGATCTCATTCCATTAAAAGAAAAATCTATATGCAGTCTCAAGTTCTTTATAGTCTCTTCCTTCTCACTTGTCTAAATGGATCTTGGCATCATCGAAAGCACCTTTTTGTATCCTCTAAGCACTGTGATCTTGGAAATTGTTCTGATATACTTGTACCTCCCTTCCACTTCCTCGTATTTTCTCTCATGCAAAAATATTTCTTACTGGTTTATGCCATTTAGTTATACTGTTCTTGATGTTGTAGTGTATTAAGCTATTGCACATTCATTTTTTTCAACACATATTTACTATCTCCTATGTGAGATAGACAAATACCTGCCCTCAGAGAGCCTAGTGTATTGTGAATGACCAACACTAAAGTAATTGTACTAAGCTAATAAAAACTTTGGTTACTTGGTTCACATTGTTGCTTTCCACTCCAAATCCTGACAGTCTTTTAATAGGTAACTTCAACACTGGCACAGACAACAATTCCAGCAACCCAGACTGATAGACCTTTGACTTTCTTATTTCTAATAACCATCAATAACCAATCTACTTCCTTGTTCATATCCTGGTCTTTATTACTTAAAACTATCCTACCATGAGAATAAACTTGGGTGAATCAATTGCTAAATGTATCTTCCTATCCTTTCAATTTTCACATCCTTGCTTTTTGTATATTCTCCAACTTTTATCGGAGTCCCACTACACTACATGACATTCTTTAATTTTCTCCCATTCTATCATGCCTCTCGTGAAGTCACTTCATTTTCTATGAAGCTTAGATTTTAAGTTTAAAAAAGGTAAAATTCACCATATTAGCTATTTTAAAGCATACAATTCAGTGGCTTTTAATACATTCATAATGTTGTGCAATGATCACCACTATCTAATTCCAGAACATTTTCATTACCAAGAAAGAGCCCCATATTCATTTAGGAGTCACTCCCATATACTCTCTTTCCTCACACTGTCTTTATGAATTTGCCTATTCTGGACATTCCACATAAATTGAATCATATAGTATGTGACCTTTTGTGTCTGACTTCTCTCACTTAGCATGTTTTGGAGGTCCATCTGTGTGTGTGTGTGTGTGTGTGTGTGTGTGTGTTTTGAGATGGAGTCTCACTCTATCATCCAGGCTGGGGTGCAGTGGCATGATCTCAGCTCACTGTAACCTCTGCCTCCTGGGTTCAAGCGGTTCTTGCCTTAGCCTTCCGAGTAGCTGGGACTACAGGCACGTGCCACCACATCTGGTTAATTTTTTGTATTTTTAGTAGAAACCGAGTTTCACCGTGTTAGCCAGGATGGTCTCAATCTCCTGACCTTGTGATCTGCCCTACTCGGCCTCCCAAAGTGCTGGGATTACAGGCGTAAGCCACCACACCTGGCCCTTGTTTCTACTTTTTAATGTGAATATGGGTCTTCAATTATCTGGGGTATATGGTAATTCTATGTTTAATTTTTTGAGGAACCAACAAATTGTTTTTCACAGTGGCTGAACCATTTTATTTTCCCAACGACAATATACAATTCCAAACAACTCCTCCACATCCTAGCTAACCTCATTCTTTTTCCTTTTTTTGTAATTTATTATAGCCATCCTAGTGGGTGTCATTATGGTTTTGAGTTGTAATTCTCTAATGACTAATGATGCTGAACATTTATTCCTATACTTTTGGGGCATTTGTATATGTTCTTTGGAGAAATATCCATTCAAGTTCTTTGTCCATTTAAAAAACTGTGTTGCTTATCATGTTATCAAATTGTAAATTATTTATATTTTCCTGATATTAGACCCTTATCAGATATGATTTTCAAGATATTTTTTCTCATTCTGTAGGTTTTTCACTGCCTTGATGTCTTTTGATGCACAAGTGTTTAATTTTGATAGTCTAATTTATCTACTTTTTCTTTTGTTTGTATTTTTGGTGTCATAGCTAAGCATTGCTTACCAAATTTAAGGTGATGAGTTATTCCTGTATTTTCTTCTCAGAATTTTATAATTTTTAGTTCTTATAGTTACACAATTGACCCATTTTTTTTTGAGTTAATTTTTTGTACATAATATGAGGTAAGGCCCCTACTCCAGTCTTTTGAATATGGAAATCAAGTGGTCCCAGCAACATTTTTTGAAAAACTATTATTTTCTCATTTAATGTCTTGGCACCGTTGTCAAAAATTAATTGGACATGATGTATGAGTTTACTTCTGGACTCGCAATTCTATTCCAGTACCATATAGCTTTCATTATTTCAGTTTTTTAGTAAGTTTTAAAATTGAGAAGTATACAGTCTAAAACTATATTCTTTATGAAAACAGTTTGAGTATCTTGGTTCCTTTCCAATTTCCATATGAATTTCAGGATTGGCTTGTCCATTTTTGCCAAAAAAAAAAAAAAAAAAAGCAGCTGGGATTTTGATAGGGATTGCATTTGAATCTGTAGATTGCTTTTACAGAGTATTATCATCTTTATGACATTAAGCTTTCTAATACATGATGAACACAGGATTTACTTCCGTCTTTAATTTCAACAACTGTTTGCAGTTTTCAGCAGACAAGTCCAATACCTCTGATTTTGTTTCACATTTTATAAGTGAAATTATTTTCTTGGTTTCTTTTTAAGTTTGTTCATTGCTATAAAGACATCACCTATTTTTGTTGATCTTGTATCCTGCAACTTTGAATTTGTTAGGTCTAATAGTTTTTTTAATGGGTTCTTTAGAATTTTGGTTATATTAGAGTATATCATCTGCCAGTAGTGATAGTTTTACTACTTCTTTTCCAATCGTGATACCTTTTTAATTTCTTGCCTAATAGCGCTAGCTAGAACCTTTAGTATGGCATTGAATATAAGTGGCAAGAATGGACATTCTTGTCTTGTTCCTGATTCTAAGGACAAAGCTTTCACTTTTTCATCAAATTCATCAAGTACAATGTTAACTGTGGGTTTTTCCTAATTGCCCTTTGTCAGATTGAGTGAGCTCATTTCTAGTCTTTTTTTTTTTTTTTTCTTTTTTGGTCACAAAAGGGCAGTGGATTTTGTCAGATGCTTTTTCTGTATCAATTGAGATAATCTTGTAATCTTCCCTTTTCACTGTATTAATATGATGTATTAATATGACACTGATACATTTTCTTTGGTTGAACCATATATTCCTGGGATAAATTCCGCTAAGTCATTTTATATAATCCTCTCAAAATGCTGTTGGATTTGATTTGCCATTTTCTTTTCTTGTGATGCCTTTGTCTGGCTTTGGCTTCAGATAAATACTTGCCTCACAGGATAAGTTAGGAAGTGTTCCTCCTATTTTTTGAAAGAGTTTGAGAATACTGGTGTTAATTCTTCAAAAGTTTAGTAGAATTCACCAGTGAAGTCATATGATTTTTGAGTTTTCTTTGTTGCAAGTTTACAAATAACTAATTCAGTCTTTTGTTATTGGTGAGTTGAGTTCAGATTTTGTATTTCTTCTCAGTCAGTTTTGGTCCTTTGTGTTTCTGGAATTTGTGAATTTCATCTAAGTGCATCTAATTTGTTGGCATTTAATTGCTCATAGTATTTTATGAGCACTTTCATTTTATGCAAGTTCAGTAGTAATGTCCCCACTTTTCCTGATTTTAGTAATTTGAGTCCTTTTTTCCCTGATTAGTGTAGCTAAACCTTTTGTCAGTTTTGCTGATCTTTTTAAAGTAACAACTTTAGTTTTGTTGGTTCTATTATTTTGTGTTCTCCACACCATTTATCTTTGCTCTAATATTTATTTACTGTCTTCATCTTGCTTTTAGTTTTTCTTTTTCTAGTTCCCTCAGGTGGAGGGTTATTTGAGATCTTTTTTAATGCAGGCATTTATACCCATAATTTAAGCCATGCCTTATGACATACTGTATGTCATAAGTTTTGATATGTTGTTTGTATTTTTGTTTCCATTTCTCAAAATATCTTTTCATTTCCCTCATGCTTTCCTTTTTGGCCCATTGATTATGTGACTTTTAATTTCCCCTTATCTGTGAATTATTCTGATTTCCTCCTGTTACTGATTTCTAATTCTGCTGTTGTTGGAAAAGATACTTTATAGAATATCAATCTACTTAAATGTACTGAAACTTGTTTTTTAATCTAACATTTGGTCTATCCTGGAGACTATTCCACGTATACTTGAAAACATACCTATTGTTGTTTTTTGGGTAGAACACTTTGTATATTTGTTAGTTCAAGCCAGTTTATAGTGTTTCTCATGTCTTCTCTTTCCTTTTTAATCTTTTTTTCTAGTATTTCTATCCGTTAATAAAAGTGAAATCTCCAATTATTATTCTTGATCTATTTCTCTTTCACTTCTGTATTTGCTTCATGTATTTTGAGACTCTGACTGTTGTAGTTATTGCTCATTTATTAACTTTTGAACTAATTTTGTAAATCCTATGTTGTGTGTACCTGCATGAATCTCTGTTCCCTCAGCTTAGTGGTCAGCTTGTGACTCCACAGAGGTTTTCTTAAATGCCTTGAAACATAAAAACAAAATCAAAAACAAAAGTCATCACTTGGTCTCTGCAGATACATTGTGTGTGTTAGGGCACACTCGACACTCAGTTTTAACTCTATAGTCTTCACTTCCTGTGTAACACCTGAAGGTCAGCTAGAGATGAGGATTAGGGCTTTCTTAGGTCTTTCTGAACATGCTACCAAGCTTCCAGATTTTCATACATATGCGGGAGCTTTCAAAAGCGCTTATGCCTTCAAAGCATATCATTCTCCAGCCTTTCCTCCTAATCTTTTTGGTTAGTTCTACATCTCAACTGTTACTTATTATCTAAGATAGCAGTAGCTAATATATTTCCATGTTTTTGACAAATACACCACAGGTAGCCACCTCAGTCTTGACTGACTTGAGCTAGGTAAAATAAGGGTAAGACCTATGAGCAGGTTTTTCAGAGAGCCACCAGACAAACCAAAGAAACCATCAAAAGCCTTTCTTCAGTTTTATATTACCCTGCAACCTCTCACCTTCCTTTTCTACTAGATTTCTTAAGAATAGTCTATCATCATGATCACATTCCCACCTCATGCCCATTTTTTTTTTTTAATCCACATGGTGGGCAGAATAGCAGCCCCCAAAGATATCCATGTCTTAGTCCTTGGATACATGGCAAGAGGGACTCTGCAGATGTGATTAAAGTCAAGGACCTTAAGATGAGGGAGATCATCTTGAATTATCTGCGTAATCACAACATAATCACATGAATCATGGAAAGTAAAGGGATTTTCCCAGTGTAGTGAAACAGTAAGAAGCACCATGAGTGAGCAAGCACTGTGACAACAGAATAAAGCATCAGAGAACAGAATAAAATGTCAGAGATGTGGCAGTTTGAAAAGGACTTGGCCTATGGTTGCTAGCTTTGAAGACAGGGGAGGGGGAACATAAGCCCCAGAGAGAAAATGGTTCCACCATTACCTTGATTTTAGCTGAGGGAGACCCATGTTGGATCTCTGATCTACAGACTTGTAGAATACTACATTCATGTTGTTTTAAGTCACCAAGTTTGTGGCAATTTAATATAGTAGCAATAGAAAAGTAATACAACTCACTACAAATAAGCACCCCTCAGATCCTCTAAAACTGCTCAAACTAAAGCTTAAAATTCCTCCTAATCAACAATTTCAATGAATTACTTTTAATATTCATCTTAATAGGATCTTTTTGTTATACCATTGTTGAACCTTCACTTCTTGAAAATTTCTCCTTTTTTAACTCAGATACCAATCTTTTCTGGTTTTCTGACTTCCTAAATTATTCCTTTCTAGGCAGCTTACCTGGCTTTTCTTTTGCTCATTAAAAAAAATATTTTTAAAAGACTAACTATAACCACAATATCAACATAATCACTGTCCCCAGTCAATAATTTCTCATCAAATATCCAGTCACAGCCTCATGTCTTATAAGGTCCACACGTTCTCATGATTTAAAAAACTTAAAAGATATATATCTCTATATCACTTTGCCATACTCCTCCCAATTCCCTTAAAAACTGGGATGTCTTATAGTTTCCCAGTTTGGATTTTACAAATGGTATTACCATGGTATAGTTTAACATGTTCCACTATCCGCTGTATTTCCTGTAAATGACAGTTGTATCTAGACTAGCTCTTAAATATTGATCTCCCTAAGGATTTATATTTCTTTTACTTCTCTGTTCATACCTATAAGCTTCCAAATCTTCTCTTTCTGAACACTAAAGCCATGTTGTTAACTATACATTGGTTTATTCATTGTGAAAATCTCACAAGGGCCTCAAATAAAACTTACCATATAATTAAAGTATTACATCCTTCCCCCTTTCCCCAATTCTACTCATGCAGGCCAGTATATGTGAATTTATGTCAAAACATATCCTATTTATACATTTATAGTTCCTCTCGGTTCAAATTCCTATTTTCCCAAAGCTCATTCTGTAACACCTAATCTATCACACAATAGTCTCCTAACTGGTGTTCCTATTTTCAGAATCCTCAGACTCTCTCCTTTACATGAGATGTTAGTAAACTTTTTCTGTGAAGGGTCAGATAACAAATATTTTAGACTTTGCAGACAATACAGTCTCTGCTACAAGTACTCAACTCTGGTCATAGCACAAAAGCAACCATAAACAAAATGTAAATGGACGTAGCTGTGTTCCAATAATGGTTTATTTTAAAAAATATTTGGCCTATTTGCCATATTTTGCCAACTCCTGCTCTAAATTGATGTCAACATAATATTTTCAACTGGCAAATCCAGTTGTCTCATTCCCTTACCCAGTCTGTGAAATCTAATTCTCTATTTCTATTACCTACAGAATAAAGTTAAGGCTTCCTAATAGAGTAATAAAAACTCCTTCAATAACTGGCACTTGATATCCTCTAATTTCAGAAAAAGATAACTTCTCTTCACATGGAAAGGTCAAGTATTTTATTTCTAATTTTTTTATATTCTTACCTTCATCTTTAAGCATTTCAATCACATTTTCTATGAGGGTCATCACATCTTTACTGTTGCTTGGATGTTGTAAATTCACCCAAGTCCTGACTTCTTCAGGCAGGACTGCCAGGAATTGTTCCAGCACCAACAGTTCAATGATCTGCTTCTTTGTATGAATCTCTGGTCTCAGCCATTGAACACAGAGCTCCCAGAGTTGGCTCAGGGCTTCATGGGGTCCAGACACCTTCAAATACTGGAAATGTCTGAACTTTTGACGAGATGCCTCTGAGTCCTGTGTCTCCATGACAGGGATGGTTTCTTGCTGCCAAGACAGATCTGCTCTCAGAAAGTCTCTTTGTTCATGTAGAGACAGGTTTTGAGGTTTTGAGATAGCCATCAACTTGCTCAGAGGCTGCATCTTCCTAAATAGAACTCCCACAGTAGTTCAAATCTGCCTTGCTGGATTGTAGTAATTGTCAGGCTTGAGATAAGAAGCTGCAAAAAAAAAAAAAAAAAAAAAAAAAAGAAAAGAAAAAAAGAAAAAGAAAAGAAATTAACCCACAGGTAACAAACATCTATTAGTATAGCATTAAAACATAAATAATATTCTTAAAATTGCCTCAGAAAAAATACATATCATGGATTCTCCTGCTATTTTTGTTTTTCTTTCTTAGAACTAGAAAATATGCTTTCCCTTTCTCCTAACCAGTTTCCCAAAGGACAGAGAAACACACTAAGATAAATAGACATCTCAAAACAAATGATAAAGGAAAGAGTCCTTGGATTTAAAAAGACTTCATAATTGAATTGCAATTAGATTTATTCTGTATCAGGTAGCAAATAATTTTTACTTTAAAATTAAGCAACACAAATCTTCAGGCAGGATATTAAGGCTTCTGACTAGATAGGACTGAAAAACCTTTCCCCAAGTTCTCATTAAAATGCCAATAAAATTCTGTAAGATGAGTAAAACTGGCAATAGCACAAGAAAGGTAAGAGGCAATAATTTAAAATATACTAGAACAATATCCATAAACTGTTTTATTATTAGGAATAAATCAAAAAGTACAGTCTCTGACCACAATTAAAAGTTTTTATTTGTTAGGACTCACTGTGTACAAGTATGCAATGCCCACCAGGGAGTCTTAGGCACAACTGAACATCTAGACTCACAAGACTACCACAGGTCATATTCAGCACCAATTTACTCAGAAGGCAAAAAAAACAACTTGGTAGCGAAAGAATAATATGCACTTTTCTTCAGTGTGAGTCTTTGCAGAGTTTAGCTCAAGTGCAGGGAGATGAGATCCATAAATGTGATGTAGGAAACACTCTGACTCAAAAGAATTCCCCCAGGGGCCAATATCTCTCATAACAACTGAGGACAACTTTTAGGGTTGCCCCAAAGAGCCTGCCAAATTATAGGAGTCACTACATTTAGGGAAGTCCAGATACAGCTTTCTATTAGATTTACAGTTCTCCAAGTCTCAATGCAATTTACTACTTAGTTATCATTTTGATTATAATCATCTAAAGTGAGTTGTTCTTGATTGGGAGATTTTGCCACCATGGGAAATTTGACAATGTCTAGAGACAGTTTTGATAGTTATAGCTAGAGACTGTACCTGGCATCTAGGAGGTAAAAGCCAGGGATGTTGCTAAATATCCTATACAGGATAGCCCCCTATAGCAAAGAATTACCCAGCCCAAAGTATCAATAATTCCAAGGTTTAGAAACTCTGTTATGGGAAATATATAGTGAATGAGAGTACATACTTTGTAGTCAGTTTATATCCCAGCTGTACTAGTTACTATATGTATTAAGCTGACCAAGTTATATTAACCCAAGTTTGTGTTCTCAACTGTAAAATGGATATAACAATATCTGATCAAATTACAGGGATTAAATTCTCATCTCATTTCTTGACACACAGTAAGCACTCAATAGATCATATGCACATAAGTGTATTATAATGTTTGTAGATCTTATTGGCCAAAAGTTTGTGTGACTTTGTCCATGGCAATGCCTACCTGAATAGATCATTCAACATTCGAATAAGTATTAGTCAACAGAGTTGGGGAAGATATACAGAGAACTTTGAAAAGACAGTTTAGTGGCAAATTAATGGCAGAAGCAAGGTTTCTCAATGTTTGACTGGAAATTTACAAATAACCAAGGGAAGGAGGCTAAAATGATCCAAGTGATAATGGATTAGCATTGGAGATATAAGTATAAACTTGTATTTGGTTCAATTTAGATGAAGATGGTTACATACAGAAATATTTACAGATATGTATATATACATAGATTAGTATAAATACATATTTCCTTGCTCTGTTGGCTGAGTAGGTCTAGAAGCAAGAATAGCCCAGCAGCAAAAGAACAATTAGCTTCCAGATCTTAGTTTCTAATATCGTTCTCCAATAAGAACCAGAATTTCTTAGAGAAATGGCTGATTCTAGGACTGAGGCATACAAGATAAGCACTGAGTATCTTATAGTGACATAAAGAAATGCTCAAAAAATAAACATAAATAAAACTAAAACATTTATTGGGGTACATCAAAGGTACACGGGAGCCAAATGAAAGAGTTCCCTATGGCCAAATCTGGAACAATATAAGCAACAGAATAAATATTAGATTATAATTCAAACAATTAAAACTCATAAGCCATACTAATATAAATGGTAACTTATTAAGTAAATAAATGGGGGAGAATAAACAAATCTCCTATGCAGAAAAATTCCAAATAGTTTATGCAAATTCTCAGTCATCCATGAGATAGAGCATAACTCCCCACCCCTTGAGTATGGGCTCTGCATAGGAATTTCCTGCCTAAGAGTATAGTATGGTCGGGGAAGGGGGAAGGTAAATTTACAGTAGAAAAACCTGACAAACGCTGTCTCAGCCAGGTGATCAAGATTAACATCAACAGCAGTAAGTCATGTTGGCAGTATGCAGCCTTAAGACAAGGTGATAAAAATGGCATTTTACCTCTGTGATCTCCCAGGTCTAAACCCATAACCCCAGTCTAACAATGACAGAAACATCAGAATCCAACAGATGGTTCTCTATACTTAACCAATACTCCCTCAAAACTGTCAGCATGATCAGAAACAAGGAATGTCTGAGAAACTGACACAGCTAAGAGAAGCCTAAGGAGGCATGAAGACAGAATGTAATGAGGTATACTGGATGGATTCCAGATCAGTAAAAAAGACATTAGGTAAAAATTAAACTTGAATAAAACATGGACTTTAGTTAATGTAGTATTATTAATTGCAACAAACGTACTATACTAATATAAAACGTTACTTATAGGAAAAATGAGTGGAGGGGTATATGGACACTCTGTTGTACTATCTTCTCTATTTTCCTGTAACTTTACTCAATTTATTTAGAAACTTTTTTTCCTCTGTGAATGCAAACTCCCCAAAGGATTTCCCACAGCAAGTGAAAAGCCACAGAGGCAGGCACCTTCTGGCTTCAAAGATCCCATCTAGGTTGTCATGGCTGAGAGAGAAAAAGGGCAATGTTGCCTTTCATGGGCTATTCCTGGGTCTCACTGAATAGAAAATTGCTTCCAGTTGCCCTGAAACAAGTGCTGCCTGTAATGAATCCCTCTGGAGTACTCCCTGACATCTCAAATCGGTAACAAAAGTCTGTCTTTCTCCACATTTACATCTGCCAAGGCCCACAGTTAAGACAACCTACTGAAAACCTGCCACAACTGTTGACATCCATGACACTCCTGATCTGGCCTCATTAGCTCCACCTTTGGTTTATGCAACTGTATTTTTTCAGGACACTAACAATTTTCAGACAGATCCTTAAAGGCTCTAAAAACATATCACTCACCCTTACTCTGTGAAGACACAAAACAAAACAAGCAACAAAGAGGGAGCAGCTGGCTCAGTGAAGTTTTCTGCAGATGAAAGGCCCACTTAGAGGACTCGTGGTCCCACCTGACACAGAAAACAAATCGGAACCACCTCTACACACAAGCCCAATTAAAGAAAACAAATACAATCCTATGGGAAAAGAACAATTATTGAACAAAAATCTCTCTCTCCTTTTTTTTTTTTTTTTTTTTTTTAGTTTTTTAGACAGAGTTTTTGCTCTTGTTGCCCAGGCTGGAGTACAATGGTGCAATCTCAGCTCACTGCAACCTCCTACCTCCCCGGTTCAAGTGATTCTCCTGCCTCAGCCTCCTAAGCAGCTAGGATTACAGGCATACACCACCATGCCCAGCTCATTTTTTACATTTAGTAGAGATGGAGTTCCACCATGTTGATCAGGCTGGTCTCGAACTCCTAACTTCAGATGATCCACCCACCTCAGCCTCCCAAAGTGCTGGGATTACAGGTGTGAGCCACCAGCCAAGAGAGGTCTCTTAAATATTACTGATGGAATAGTCCTGAAGTGAGTCCAACAAAAAAAATGAACTACAGGCCCAGATACTTTGAAATTAACATAAATGGTGAGAGAAAAAATACAAGGTCACAGGCCATATGTCAAAGACAAAACAAAAAAGGCTTTATGTTAAAAAGTAAAAATAACAAAGATATTTATTGCAACAAAAAATGTACTGGGTAAAAATTTAAACTCAAACTATATAAAAACTCAAAAGACATCCAACCCAAAAGAACTCCAAAACTAAAAGTAAAACGGTTTTATTTTAATACTAGGCAAACCTTAAAAAATAAGCAAAAGTGTAGTGAATTAAAATTATAATGAATTTAAAGCACAAACACATTAGACAGAGGAAACCAGATGATAATAACTCATAATGAAATACAACTGCCCTTAAATGTATAACGTACTTGAAATATTTTTAGCAAAATTCTCAGAAAACAAGAAATGAAGTCAACAATGATACAATAGAAATGGGACATTAGGTAACTAAGACTTTGACAGATAAAGTCAAAAAAGTAATAGTATAATGAATATACTTAGTCTAACATAGATAAAACTATATGTAGTTTCTGTTCAAGCACCTGTGGGAATGGTTACAGAAGCTATTTATTAGATTACCAAACAGAAAATCCTTAATAGTAAACAAGAGTATAGGAAACCACATTTATTACTAGAATGCAAAACCGGAAATTAACACCACATAGGAAAAACAATTTCACCTACTTTAAAATTCAAATGTTTGCTTCTAAAAAAACAGAGAATCAAAAGTACAATTGCAAAGTGTCTAAAAACCAAAAAGAGTACAAATATTGTACATCAAAATCTAAAAGGCGCAGCTGAAGCTCCTGCTAGGCAATGGAAAAGCCTTACACATAATTAAACAAGAATGAGATGCATTAAATATCCAACTCAGGAAATACAAAAAGCAACAAATATACTGGGAAGTTTACAGGTGACAAACACAAATTAATGAATTACTCACTGTAAATAGTTATAGAGCT